CAATGTGGATATAGATAAGAAAATATTTGTACTCTTACATACGGAAGAAAAGTAGTCATTTATTTTTTTTTAGTATACATTTGATGGATTACTTTCAGCTGAAACAAAATATAGAAAGAGAAATCATTGCTTGTACCATACACGAATTATCTCGTTCTACTGTAAAAGCTATTCAAAATTGTACAGTACAATGTTCCCTACAAGACATGCTCTTCTTTTCTTCAAGGATGAAGAGAAGGAAGTACTTTTCTAATCTTTATAAATCAATAAAAATCAAAGTATTTTAAAAAATATGCAAAGTCAAGTTCGAGATCGTCAACGAAAACCTAGTAACACAGTAAGTGACATTTATTTTAAAATCCGCTCTAAATTTTAACTTGGTGTTTTTCGCGACAAGTTTTTCTTAATCTAGTATAGCAGATATTAATCATTGTCTTTGACACTTATCATGCAATATACTATTTCATGTGCGTAATATACGTTAGAAAATTTCATGATCGTCGTTATCATATGCAGGATACTTAGTACATACCAAACTAATGATAGTCGTTAATCAAACCGATTATCGGAGGCCATTTCTGTAGAATACAAATTAAAAATCAAAACGGCATTAATAAATCGTGGTTTCCAATAAAAGCCTAGAAAAAGCCATAGTTTTAGGCGATTTCATCGCGATACCATTTCACAATTAAGCGGACTCATCAATCACGATAGCATTGCCGACTTTTAGGCGACTTCAACTACATGAGACAATTTTGATAAATTATTTCTATATGTAAAGAAAAATAAATGACTACTTTTCTTCCGTATGTAAGAGTACAAATATTTTCTTATCTATATCCACATTGAAATCACTATGAAACACAATCATACACATTATAACACGTGACACGTAGCTTACCCGATGATATAGAAAAAAAATATCTTCATTTTATCGTATGAAAAGTATTCAGAAGACCAGGCAAACAAGAAAATTTTATACCATCAGTGCAGACATTCTAGATTTCAATAGATAACTCGTTGGTCAGATACATGAGTCCTCTCAATTTATTAAATATATTTCCAAGAATAATGAATGTAACGATAAGACTTCTTAAACTGTGTTAATGAACAATATAGAACTGAATTAAGTCTTCTAATTGATCATACACATATCGAAAATCTGATGATGAAAGAAGAAGTAGAAATCTAAATATTTTTTATGCTACAATCTTTTTTTTTAACAATTGATTATTAATATAGTATTATCAATAAATTTATTTCGTTTTTTGTTTTCTTTATTATTTCATTACAATATTTGAAATATAATTAACCAAGACGATAACGAAAAAGTACTGGATGTTTTCCTGTTGATTGTCTTTCATGTATTTCTTCTTTAACTTGTTCACTTTGATAACGTCGATTTAGATTAAATTTATCAAGAACTTGTTGAATAAATCCACTATTAATTGGTTGTGATAAACAAATTTTTGTTGAATCTTCATAAATAATATCAATTTTTTTATCTTGTAAATTACCAACAAGTGTTACAAGAAATGTATCAAAATCATTTGATCGATATACGAGATTTTTATCAATATTTTCTAATTCATTATTATTTTCATCTGCTCTTTTTCCTAAACGAGGTGAAAATGCTAATGAATTTTTAGTTGAATAACGCCCATTATCACGAGTTGGTCGCCAATAATTAAAATATGGACGAGATATTGATGCTCGTCGATTTCTATTTAATATATTTGAAAGATGATTTTTTGATAAACATTCACGAATATTTGTTTGTTTTTCCAATGATGATGATGATAATAATACTGAGGGAATTTGTCGAATTTCATCTAGTTTTTGTTCATTATTAATTATATCAAATGAATATATTGTTTGAATAATTGTTAAAGTAATAAGAAAAAGAAAAACTAAAGAAAATTAATTATTATTTTTATTCTTATTCAATCACTCACCAAATGTGCATTGTATGGTAATCATTTTTCTCAATGAAAACAAAAAAAAATAATCTGAATAAAAGAAAAATAAATCAATTCTATCATAAATTTTTATTTAGGTCAAAACTTACAATGTTTATTTTAAGTTGAAGTTTTTTTTCATGGAATATCTGAAAAAAAATAGAATGCATTGAGTATTTATTTGACAATGAAAGCGATGGTAGTAGAATGTTGATTATATTTTGTTGCAATAAGATTTTCTTTTTATTTATTATGTTCAATGAAACATGCGATGAGCCGCTTAGATTGAAATGTATATTTTATTTTGTTAATATTTTATAAAAAAGAAATTCTCTTTTATTTCTCATATAAAGTTTGACTTTTAAAAACTTCTTAACTTATAGATGAAAAGAAAAACGCCTCTTCTTTATTTTAATATTGACTACAGGAATATTTTCTTTTTTCTATTACGAAATAATATATTGAAAATTAGAGAAGTTTTCAAAGATTTTTGTTTAAAGAAAATAAATTTATCTAACATTGCATCTGAAATTAACTTCGTTGATTTGCCAAATTTTATTATGTTTTTCTTTAGAAGCTTAAGAATAGCAAGATAATGACCCAATAGTTGTTTCTTGTGAAAAATTGAAGATATTTGTGAATCTATAAAAACAAAAGACCTTCGAAG